AAAAAAAAAAAAAAGCCCCATTCAGACAGCTTCTTCTTTTGGAGAACAGCTTTACATTCCTGAGAGTAACTACTGGAACAAGACTTGGTCTCAATGTTCCAGGACTTGTCAGACGTTGTAATCGGGGGACTTTCCCTGCGGCTGCCGCAGTCGGATCTGTAAGGTAGAAAAGGCTCCCACAGTCACATGGAAGAAGAGCTGCCACAGGTTGCGCAGCTCATACAGGTACATGTTACACAGGCAGATCAACCCAAAAGTCAAGAAGGACTTGGCATTCCTCCAGCCTGTGTAGTACACAAACAGGTAACACTGTCAGGAAATAAAAAAGAAATCAGGTTACCTCATGGCAAGTAACTTCTTCTGAAGAAAAACTATCTGGTCACTGAAAAATTACAGCCCAAACCAAGAAAAGTCTGAATCAAACATGGAAGAACAGTATCAATTCAGCAGTCATAGAAGGATGAAGAATACCTGATATCAATACAAAATTTAATTTGCATTGCATTAAACCCTGAGAACAATTAATTCATAATAATTAATTACAGACTGCAATGAGTGGCCTATGACTAAAGTTAGTGGATGTTCCTGGCAACCTCTGGTCAAAAAAAAACTCTGTTCTACTCAAGCAGAGGAGAAAGAACAAGAGAAGTCTTCAGGAAAGCAGTGGGAAGGACAGGCACAATACCAGGGCCCCAGAGCTCAGCACAAGGCAATCCCCCAGACGTGTCCCAGTGTCCTGCCAGGGGTGATGCTGAGGGTTTCCGAGGAGATGCAGAGGCCCACACCCCCTGCCCTGCTCCAGCTGCTTCACATTTGGAGAGAGACAGACAACTGCTGTCCTGTAATTCTACCACATTTTAGGCAATGTTCTGCACACTCTGGTGGAACACAGTCTGTCAGGACTGCCCACAGTTCCCTACCCAGCCCTCTTCCTACTGTAACTTGAAAGCTGTTCAAGTCTTTTGTCTCAGTTTTCATCTCTAAAAGGACACAGCTTTTACCCAGACATTATTTTTATTTCTTCTATTGTTTGAACTACTCCCTTAACTGCTATAAAAATCAAAAAATTCCTTTACCCCTTCCCAGGATTCAGGTAATTTCTGCTGAAGGAATTTTTTTTCTGAGCTTTAAGGTAGATAACAATAGTACTTATGCTTACTTTCTATTCCAAACCTGTTCCCAGTGGATTTATAACTATGGTCACACACATTTAACAGCATCCATCATCAGATTATCTAAGTGTCATTTCTCTTCTTCCTAGGCATTTGCCATGTTTTATCAGTCAAAAAAACTCCACTTAATTTTCTTTTCATTTTTCATGTTCCTCAAAAAAGCGCAACTGAACAATACAATTTATTGAGGTTACTTTATATTCTATTTGAACTCTACCACTTTGTTAAAAAGCATGTGTTTCCACTGCAAATGTGGCTGAGAGCAGCACAGCTACTTGTAGTGTCTGGATATCTAAATATTGTCAGAGCGAAGAGCACTGGCATTGTCAGTAAGATTTGTATGTCCTTCTTCCAAAGCAAAGTAAAACTGGAGATGAATAAGCTGCATGTTTCAGAATCTAGACAGATGTGTTCTGAACCTGCTTAGCCAGTTTGAGCAGAGTAAATGCAACCTGCTTGTGCTGACAACTTCACAAATCATATCTAAAAGAGCAATTAGTTGGTACTGGTATCTCAGCAATAAGAATTCAGATAATTTCCTAGTGTTGTCATTTCCACTGACAATGTATGAACAAGTGTGACTGCTTCCAAGATTAAAATAAGAGCCAGGATATGCTTCATCAAGATGATTAATAAAGGCTTGAAAAGAGTAGTTTAAAAATGTTACTATAACATGATGTCACAGGACTGAATTTTACTGAAGAACTGTCTTAAATGAATTCTGAAGTGGATCTTTCATTGGTCTAACTCTGAACTACTGAATGTGCACCGTACAGAACAGATGAAAAGCCCAAAAATAGTCAAAAGGCCAAAACAATGCAGTTTTAACAGCTTACTATAACAAGTACTGTTATGAAACTCCTGAGGGTTGTTTTTCTACTACTAAAGGGAAGTGTTATCATGCAAGTGTTATACTGAGCATGCTTTTATGGAGAGGCTCCTCTGTGCTACTTCAGAGAAGATTTTGTTGGTTTTTTTTAATGAATGTTCAGAGATGACTGAAGGCTCAGCTTCTGACACTTTGCACTTCTGCTACAATTGAGGCAGTTGTTACTTTATCTTCTTTATAAAATACTAGAAACTATGAAGCAACACTAGACATGTCAGTGAGTCTAAACCATCATATTATACTTAAGTCCTGCTCTTTTACCTACACATCTGAGTTATAAATATTTATTGGGAACTAGAGACACACTGCTGTGTTTTTATTAACTGAACAAGACAATACAGCATGACGGATGTCTGGTGAGTGAATGTCAGTAAAATGTGCTGTCATACAACACAGGGAATTAATGTCCTGACCTCTTAACTAGCCAAAGAACATGAGAACATGCCAGAGAACCAACATCCCTCAATTCTGAAAACTGACCAATCACATATTACAGAAATTATAGCAGAGGGTGGGAAACAGAGTTTCAACAGATCTATTTTGAATATTAACAAAAAGCCTACATTCCAAGTTGCATGGAGTCTTTCTTTCAGACTTTCTTTACAGATCTGTTCAAGGCAAACAGGAGGAAAGATATCTCAATGGACAGACATGAATACTTCATGAAGAATAAGGTTTCCAGTTGGGGACAGGAGGGGCAAAAGTGTATGTTTTTATACAAAAAAAGAATGGAGGAGCTCTACCTTATCTGATATGGAACAGACTATCAGACTGTTGGCATGGAAAATTAACACCTATCTAAATTATTTAAGGCAGAAGTTGATGGAAAGACAACAAGTGTTGGAGAACACAAGTCGCATTGGGACATTTTGCTAGAGATAAATTGTAGAGAATGAAGATTACAGATAACCTAGACAAAAAAAAAAAGTGATAGAAAGGCATTTTCTTATATTACTGTCTGACACAGTACTAAACAATGGCCCACAGAAACAGAAACTTGTGCATACTCCACAAGTCTAAGATTAAAAGTCAAAGTAATTATAATAATAGCAACTGAGCATGAGAGACATAGACATAGGTTAATGTAACAGCAGTGTCACTGAATGACAGATGCCAGTGGGCACTTTGCTATAAATGATAAAGGAAAGTCAAATTCAGATGCAGAAATGGAAAACTGAGAGAGAACAAAAGCAAAAAGTGCCAGGAAGAAAAACAATGAAAAGTGGCCACAAGCTTTGAAAAGGAAGGAAATGCACATTAAAGTACCAAGTGAGGAAAATTCTGGGGTGCAGTGCTTAGGTATTACTGTATTTACTTCAAATCTGGCCAAAGGGACAAAGCAGTTAGTTGTTTATTCAGACAGTTAAGTCTACTTGAACTATGAAACTATTATTTCAAAAAAATAATATAACCTCCACTGCTTGTGACTTTAGAGATAATTGTCTTAATTAAATGTCTTAATCATCCAGCTGGAGAAAAAATGCCAGCAAACAGAAGCTTTTTGTATCAATCTACTACTACATTGATAGTTTATAATTAATTAAAAAAAAACAGAGCAGAAAATATTTTTTGTAATCACCCTATTCAAGTATCTGTGACATTTAAGAAAACATGATGACACTTATGCATGACTGGGTAATGTTTCTAAACTCTAGTGAATTATGCAAACAGAAAAACACACCTGGTACAAACAGGCTGCGGTTCCAAGAAAAAATGCAATAACGTAGCTGAAATCTTCACCTTCATTCTGCAAGAATAAAAGAAAAAGCCATGTTTTACAATAAAACAAGTGAAATATCAGCCATTTACAGTATGAAAGTTATGAATTATTGCATGTTAAAATAGTTTCACACAGGGATTTAAGGCAATTCCTTTACCACACTAAACAACTAGGACTAATCAGTACTTACTGATATGTCTACAAAAAAATCATGATCTGGAGTCTGACCAAAATGTTCATTCACAACAAACAACTCTTGCCAAGATTTTCAAAAGCTTTAAAGATGTCCAGCTCTAACACTGGATTATTTACCTTCTCCAGATGCCTTTGAAAATTCAAGTCTAAACACTGGTAACCACCTTTAATAGCAACTTCATAGAATTGTGCCTTCCTAAAGTTTCACAAAATGGAAACGAGGTAACAGGAAAGGACCCAAACTGGCCACTAGGGTGGGGTAAAACTCTGCACAGAGAATAACGAAGGCAGTGACAGCTAACAACAGCACAGGAATTTATCAGAGAGACTCGGAAAATAGGGCTCTCTTGAAGGAAAGATGGAAAAATTTACTTGAAGTGACAGATTTTTCTACTATGTGTTTAGAAAACAAAACAAACCCTTTAACTTACTCAAACAGGTTGTTATAGCTCCTACAGAGCTGAGCAATCTCCATGCTCAATGACTATTCTAACTGCATTTCTAGCAAACATCTGCAACCACCAAACACCTTCCTAGTAAAACAATGGGCACGCATGCAAATGTTTTCCTTGAGAGCAAATATCACTTGAGAAGATGGTGCTCCATCCACAAGAACAACTTGTGGCTGCTGAGAGTATGTTCAGTGTGAAGCACTTCCATGTCTTGTGCTGACCAGGAAAAACTTCACATGTCTGCACACAAAAATTGCATCCACAATCAGTAACTTCTACCCAGGCTGCAAGTCTTTGCCCCAGTGCCACTGCACATTTGGTGGAGTACAGTTACAGACTGTAACAGAATTTTATTAACACCCAAATAAAACCACTGATTATAAAGCCAACAGTAATTCAGAGACACACTTCTGAATGACTTCTCAAAACTGGTTCCATTAATTGTGTTTTGGATTACTTCTCCCTAAACCTTGTGGATTTTTCCATAATAAAATAAATTAAGAGAAATTTTAATGTATTTTTAGCATGTCTCATTTGTCAGAAATGAAAATTATCTTCCATCTGTACTGCAATCTATTACCCCCAGATGCAGTAACATAGAGAATAAAATTAACTGGATGTCCTGTCATCACTTAAATAGACTAATCTAACATTTGTGTTCTTTTTTAAAAATCAGCTGCAGAAAGGTAACAAAATAAGATTTAGCAACATCATACTAACTGACAAATCTGTTCAGTACTATTTGTACTACAGCATACTTTAAAATCATTCCTATTTATTAACTGAGAGAATTGTGCATAACACAGAAAAACCTAATTAGAGATAGAGATGCAGGTTCACTTGGTCATTCTTTAAAAAACAAACCAAAGACAACTCAGAAAGAAGGACTTAGCATAGAATATTTTCATTAATCTTGCTCATCTATCCACTAGTCTTCCCAAAATGCTGAGACTCAACAGTACTGTTTATTCAATCTGTACATCTATCAGTACTGTGCAAGATAACTGGAATACAGGTATTCTTCTTTATCTTATTTCCCTAAAAAAAAAAAAAATCTATTAGGTATCAAAAAAAATTGCACTTGGCTGCTGAAAGGCCTAGAGACCAAGACTTACAAGAAGCAGCTGAGGAAACTGGGGTTGTTTAGCCTGGAGAAGAGGAGGCCTGGGAGAGAATTGACTGCTCTCTGCCACTACCTGAAATTAAATTGCAGCAAGGTGGCAGTTGGGCTCTTCTCCCAGGTAACAATGGGTAAGATGAGAGGAAATGGCCTCGTGTTGCATCAGGGGAAAAATTTCTTCACTGAAAGGGCTGTCAAGCTGCCCAGGGAAGTGGTTGAGTCATCACCCCTGAAGGAATTTAAAAGCCTTGTAGATGTGGTACTTTGGAACATGGTTTAGTGAACTTGGCAGTGCTGGGTTATAGTTGGACTCAGATCTTTTCCAACCTAAATGACTCTATGAAGTCCAGATATGTTTAAAATAAAAATACCTACCAGCCAAGCAAGAGGATTACCATGTTCTCCCAGAAAACTTCCACGGGGTTTTTGGTTTCTATATCTATCACCACAATAACAGCCATTAAAAATTGTAAGGAGGTCTTTTTTTTTTTTGTTGTGGCAACACACACGAACATTCTGGGCATGCCTGCCAAGTACTACCAGCATATTCACCTGAATTGCTTGAAAGCATAAACCATTATTAGTGACACTGTAACACTTGTGGGAATACAACCAGCATAAGAAATGGAATAGAAAGAAACTGAAAGGCTACAGGAAGGGTCATAGGAGAGATTTTACAGAAAAAAAATGGGTTTGAGGGAGGTTGTTTGGTGAAGGGAGCTGAGAAGAAATTACTTGACAACTTTCTGACACTAATCCTTTCAATACACAATGAGAAATCAGGTTTATTAAATACAAATAAAATACTACAAAAGTTCTCAAAGAAACGACTTTACAAAAGCTGTTTAAAGATTCCCGCTCTGTATACTTTTCAAAAAAACTGCCCAGATTTTCAAAGCTGTTAATCATTGCACTCAAGTGTTTTTAAATAGCATCTACAGAAATTAAACGCCTCATACCCTGGCATAAATTTAGAAAACAGAACATTATGTTCATATCCTCACTGCTACCAAGGTACCAGGGAAGGAGTCGGCCACCCACCTTCCACTGCTGTTGAAACTCACAGCCTCGATGAATGAGGCAGCACACTCAAGGAGGATGCACAGATCACAAACAATACAGGTTTTGTAACAGAGGCCTAACCTCACAAACAGTACTTTTGAAATAAACTGGCACAACTCAGCTCATATAGAGTCTCCTAAAATGAAAACTGTGGTTGCTATGATGCATAACAAATTCATAAAGATGTACAATACCTGGAGAAGGCTTTCTATGGCATGGAAGCCACGGATTAAATTCAAAGCTCCACATAACAGACTAAGCACAAATGAGACAATCCCTGGCAGAGTCACAGGTTCCAGACGTTGATGAGGAGCTGCAAAGCAGATCAAAAGAAGATATCAAAGGTCAAATCAATGCCTTCAGAAATTCAATAAAATAATAATCTCATTTGTCAGTGGTTTCTAGCTCAAGAGATCGCTGAAGCAAACCAGAAAATGTTATTTCTGTTTTCTAAAAAGACAAAACATTATAAATGTTTCAGCACAAGATTTAGCAAAAAGTAAACTTTCCTCCAGTCCACATATATAATGGCCTTGCTATATTTACTGTTTATCTCAATAAGTTCCATTTATTCAGTATGGTACTGGTGGCTGCTCAAACATGCCAGGAAATCAAAAGTAAAAGATGTACTTGCTATTGAAATCTGTCCATAATCAGTAACCAGCTAATAAGTCACATACTTAAGAGCTTCTCTCACATCCACTCTTCTTTAACACCAATGCATTAGTGAGATATTGAGATTGATTTAGCTTGTTTGCTAAACAGAACGCTGAAGCAAAACTATCACAGTGCCCTTCCTTAAAAACACAGTGTGTGCTACCAAAGACACACATGAAGGGACAGCTCTGCAACTCAGCTGGCGTCTACACCACAATCTTATATGGACCTTCCAGATTGTGCTTAGCCTCTTACAAGTAAAACACATTAAAACTAAAACACTCTTTCCATGCACACCCACTCTTTCAAGCTTATCTAGGGTGACAAATATGTAACAGTTATGTATGTTCCTCATTACTGTCCCTTTGCATAATGAATAACAGAAAGCAAATGTGAAAAAAAACAATGCAAAACTCTTAACAGTCCGGGCGATGTTGGGATAACAATGGAACTACTGAGCTGTACTCAAATCATTCTGTTCAAACCAACCAAGTGTGAAGATGTGAACAATGAGGTTAATGAACTGTAACATTAATACAGAGGGGGTGTCAATCCCAGTTGTTTGTATTGCACAGATGCAGGGAAAAGGTTTTTCAAACAGTTTATGAAGTTACAGAACCTAAAAAAGCCCCAACAAAAGCTATTTCACATTGATAAGCAGGCAGGACTGTCTAATTAAGAGTGTACAATAACACAAAAATATACAGGATGAGTTCAGTCAATTAATTTGTGCTGAATTTAATAGTGTATAATCAGTTGGGGTGTTTTTTTAAACAAAAGTATAACCTATGTTTAACTTTGAGAGCTCACTGCTTTTCTAACTGTAGGGTACATTACTCCCAGCAATCACTCAGTTAAGGTTAGATATGCTACATGTGCTATTTGCATACCAAACCACTCTTTTTCAATGACTCCCAACTGGTTGTTTTGTTTTGGCTTTTTTTAAACCATCTCATTTAGAGAGTGGAAAAAAGCTGAGGGTGTATATGACTGTTTTTAGCCAATAGTAATTCCATTCCATTAACTGCTGGATAAAATTAGTTCACTGCTCTCCACTTGCAACTCTCCAGAAAATCTCCCTTTTCCCCATGTATTGGGTAACTTAAAAACATTGTGTGCTAAAACTGCATTTAAAACACCTCTTTGAGAACTATGGGGGGAAAAGTGAAGAGCCTCGTCAGCTAAATCAACAAAGTCTATGAAGGTTCATAAAATAGTAACTTATCTCACTAAAATATATATTAAAAAAAGGATATTATGTACCATTACTAATGTCATTAAACTCTCTAAGGCTTAAAAAATTTTAGTGTTGCAATCAAAGCAACAAGAGTCATTTATATACAAAAAAATGAAGGCAAAACCAAAGAATGAAGAAGGAATGTCAGAGAAGGCAGAGTAAAGGGCAATTGACTTTGAATTGGTACATCCATCAATCCTAGAAATATTACTAAGTGCCATATCAAAATTTCTCAGTTCAAATAAAGGACAAATTCTGAATTTAATGTTGATGTTTACATAAATATTCAGAAAATTTACATGGTATGAGAAAAAACATTACTTGTAAGAAAGTTTATTTAAAACTAAAACGTAAAAAAAATCCCACCAAAAGTGTGGAGTATGCCATCAAGCAAAAAATAACTTTGATCTGACAACTGTTGCTTCACTGAAAAAAGAGCTCAGAAAACAGTAATTTTATCTTAACCTGAAATATCAGCATGCTGTGACCTTATTTCTAACGCTTGCCAACACCTACATGTACCTTTGCAGGAATCCATCCATAATCTGCACTCTTTATGCTTCCCACATACAGAATTTCCCCTATTCCTCAGTGCACTGCACAACTCAGGGAGAGGGCTGCTACTGCAAGCACTGCCAGCACAGCAGGCCTGGATCCTCACCCCCTTACACACCCAGCTACAGTGGGAGCAAGTGAGAGCAAATGCCTCCAACTCTGCCATTCTGCACAACAAAACAAGATTTGCATCCACCTAACTTCCCACCTCTGGATGCTCTCCAACTTCATTTAACACAGCTCACTCCAGAAAGTCCTGCTTTTTAACAGTACAGCATATTCAGGAAATTCCACTAGGCAAAACATCTTTTTGTGAGAATCTTTTTGCTCTGTCCTTAGAGCAAAAGAGAAACTTGGAAGTCCAGCCAACTGAGTGGGCAGCAAACATCCAGAGAAAGTTCTTTTCAAGGGTGGAGAGAAGTGATGAATGTAAAGAACTACAAAACCATTAGCAGACTTTCTAAAAAAGACACTGTTATTCAATAGCATCTAAAATGTGAAGAGCTGAAGAAGTAGCAAAGTGCCAGCTTCTCATAATGTACAGCCCTTTGATGGTGAGTTTCTACAGCAGCTCGAGGAAGGAAGTGGATAACTGAACAGAGATCTATGGAATTCAGAGGAAGAAGAAAGTTAAAAGCAACTGAAAGAGAAACAGAAAAAAATTACATGGAAAGAAAAGGGGACAACAGGATTTCTTCTGTAAGAAAGTGTGGAGAGGTAAGTAAAAAAAAATAGACTATCACCTGCCAATTATTGTTGAATCTTCTTTTTTAGTTAAAAGGGAAATGGTCCCTATGCTTTTTAATTTAGGACTATATTACCTTCCAACACTCTTACTCAAAAAAGTAATAAAAACCCCATCTCCCATTACATGGACAACTTTTAAAAAACAGCCAATTTTGACACAGGCTGAGTTCTCTCATGCTTATTGCTTTTTCCAATTTTCATAGTTAACCAGCTGCCCCTTCTGCCTCCATAACCCTTTCCAAAAAGCAAGATTACACAAGAACATTAGGAGTAAACAACAATATAAGAATTAAAAGTGGCAAAGAGTGGTATCATAGCATTACATACCTTTAAAAAAAGCCCACACATGTAAAAAGATGACAAAGTTATGCACAGTGCAGCTTAGATGATTCCACTCTTTTAAACCATTTGAACACCTTCACACTTTCCCTTTAATAATTTTCCTAACTCTAACTCCAATAGTGTTAAATTGCAAATACAGAGATTGTAAGCTATTTCTACACTGCCTCATAGCACCTGAAATTCTCAGAATCAGGCCCCAGAGTACACCCTACTGGTTTTGTTTGGTTTTCATCTTCCATAGAAAGCAGTTTTCAATCTTCTAGAGTAATCCTCATGAATAAGTACATAATAAGGATAATATACTGGCAAAAAGATCCTATTAATATATACATACACATAAACTGCACAAAATCTCATTTATTACAACATCGTAGGAGGTGTTTAGATTTACAATTGTAATTTTGTGATTTATGATTGCACCCTGACACTGTAAAGTGAACAGCATCAGTATGGACCTGCTCAGGATAATTTATAGACAGAAGTACTTTTGGAAAAAAAAAGAAAATATATTAACTAATTAAAATCAACACTTCCTTTCATTCTATTTATGATTTTACTTCACTAAACTTGGAGGACTGAAATCAGATGATGTCAGTATCACATGTGGAGCCCATGTATCAGTGCAAGGATCTGGCATTTTGTTTCTGTCCTGCTGAGAAACATCTGAAGATGGGACTCAAACCCACTCAGAGGATTCACTTAATGGCACAAACCTTTAACCCAGTTCAACCCCACAGTACCACATTTACCTCCTGCATGAAGTAAATTAAAATTTAAAAAATTTAATGACTACTTAAATGGATTTGGCAGTTTTATACAAAATTGCAATTTTTAACGTACTTAAGGCATGTTTTAACATTGTACATAAGGCACTCATTTTAGAGAGTGCATCTTTTAGCCAGCACAGCTCTTTGGATTTTCACCATTGCAAAGGCTCCCTAAAGAGATGCTTCTCCCTCCAGCTGCTCTAACTCCTGACACTGCTCTCAGCTTATGTCAACACTTGAGTCTTACTGGGCAGAAATATCAAAAAATTTCAGAAATCTTAAAAGGTAAAAAAATAAAAATCATCTTCCTGTTAAGTGCTCATCTTCATTTACAGGATTTCTTTACTTCAATAAAGCAGTTTATTGAACAGAGCCATTTCTTCCTCTGAGTGTCTCAAGAAGGTGAACATTTGGAGCAAGAGACAAAACAGCTAGAAGAGACACCTCAGCTAAAATACACATAAGGTCACACCAGGTTTATGTTTTAGAAACATGAAAAAAGTTTTTTTTTTAAAGAAAATAAATTGAATTTTGCTGCATCTGTCTCATTTAAGGATACAACAACAGAAGTCTGGAACCTACCTGCAGATATCTTACCAGTACCCTTATACTCCCGCACAGGTATATGAGAAAAGCCATTGGCTGAACCAAGTTCTGACACAGCAATTTGATACGGTGGTCTCAGTTTGATTTCAGTCTGCATATCAGCAAGATTCATCTTTGTTGACAAAGAACGTGTGTTGTTGTATCTCTGTTTGGTCCTCTGAATGAAATTATCTGTGCAAAATTTAAAATAAAAAGGTATTTTTCTATGACTTTGTAATTACATAATCCAAGACCATGCAGCTTTTCAGTTCACAAACTGAAATATATCGTTTGAAATACTTGTATTTATCTTGGGTTTTTAATGCTGTTTCTGTTTTGTGTCTAATACATCATGGGTTATTTACTTCTGCAGTTAAAAAAATAAGATCTAAAAATCTAAGTATGTAATAACTGAATAAACTAATGACTTTTCATTCCATGAGACTGAAAGCATTTCTAATACAATGGATTTACTGCACTTATCCTAGTTTTTCTGTTAGTTTAGTAAATATCCTTATCAAAAAAATTATGTTGTGGGAAAAAAATGTGTTCATAGAAATCTTCACAAGGAGAACAGCAATGTCACACAGAAATTGTCATTAACTGGCTGAATTATAGACAGGAATTAATCAACCAGAATATCTTCCCCCATGTTTCTAAAACTGCAGTTCTCTTTGCTCTAATGTGTTTCATAAGAATATCTAATTACAGTAATTTCTAATATATAGTATTAAAGCAGCATAAATTAATGGAATTCATAACAGCTGTTATCTGGTATATATGAGATGAGTTGTATTTGGAGTCTGAAGATTAATGCTCCACTACATCGTAAGAGAAGTAAAAATTTCTCCCTTTCACGTATTGAACAAGAGGTAGCACAGCTAAGAGCTAACATGAAACTGCAATCTTTTACTTGAGAAATTTATGAAGCTCAATGACTTCTCAGGTTAAGTATTTCAACAGGTATGAAGTCAAATAACTCCTGGTATTACCACCAGAAGATGAACTCCAGAGCTGTTCACACAAGGCTTAAACCAACACCTACTGGAATGAACAGAAGTAAGTTTGGATAAAACTCTAGTAGCCTAATTTAATGCCCCAGAAGTATTTCTTTATTGACTCTAACAGCAGTTAAATCAGATTCTAAATCCACCTGAAACAGAGCTATAAACTGCTTTGGACATTTTTTGTGTGCATTAAGTTGTATCTACTTAAATTCACATTTGTCTTAGTATGTGAATGAAGGGGGACAAAGGCAGATCCTTACCAAACTCTATAAAACAGTATGGTCTGATAGCAGTATTTGTCTTCATCATATTGTAGGTAGTGATGAACTCCTTCTGAAGCTCATCCAGGAAACAGAAAGCCAGGACATTAGGATAGTTTTCGGTGCACAACATCATATAGCTCACTCCCAGAGAACTTATAAAGCTAGAATTGAGAAAACATATCCAAAATTTCAAATCTAAATTCAGTGCATTAACTGCTTTTCTAGTCTGATCTCATATTTGTAACCGGAAAAACAAAAAATTATCTGGGGTAGCAAAGGAATTAATGATTACTGAAAAGTCCAACAGTATTCTAGAAGAAAAACAAGTTACTTTTAGGCAATGTTTTATTTGAACTACACATTGTACAATCATATGAGAAGCTGTTTTACACGTATATGTATATAGCTATCTACGTGTGTGTGCACACATATACACACACTGGTGAAACAGAAAATAACAAAGCTTTTAGGCTGCAGAAACACAGCAGATTAATCCCATAACAGCTTTTCACTCATCTCAAATGTACAATATGTGATCTGGAGCAGCCCAAAAATGCAAAACCTTATCTTCAGATCTGGGGGATGGCTGTTGGCTCTTTCTAGAAAATAGGAAGAAATGTAACTGTTCTCTAGAGTGCAGAATTAGTAATTCTCCAAAGACAGTTGCGAGGACAATCAGAGATGGCAAATACGAAATCAGGATAGTTTGCAATATACATATTCTGTTGCATTTAGGCAATTCATTAGAGTTTTGATTTTCATGATAACATTCAAGTTTCTTTAAAATCTTGTTGGATAACTTACAGTATTAAAAGCAACCAAAGACAAAAGTAGTAAAATCTACCCTGATTAAACCTTACAGCTTACTCTTAAAAGTTTGTTTTAAGCTAATCAGTTTACAGGCCAACTGTAGTTAGCCTGCAAAGAAACCGAAGCAATTTAGTCCATCCTGGGCTTTAATCCAAGAAATACTGGAAACTCACATATCCCTGTAAGAGATGGAAAGGTTTTAGCACATTCTAGGATCATTAAGGTGGTACATGTTCTACCACTGTAACTTCTACATGGTTAACTAGAGGTTAAGATGAAATTACTCACCTCATTTAAAATACCTAAATTAGAATCAGAATTTAGGTCAGTTAAAGTGCAAGTGAACTATAAACAATAAAGAATTTCTACTAAATGCCTAATCCAAACCTACCCTTTCATTCAGTGTAAAGCCACTCTTCCCATGATGTTGTCTTATGACTGTGCCATTATAAAGGAACTTTAATGAAAGTCTGAATAGGTTCAAATCTTTCTACAATTTCTCAGGTTTTAAATTTCTGATAACTAAACAGTGCCAAGAATTAATCTTAGTTTGATTAAGCTGCACAGTGAACTTTTTCACTTACAGAAAGACACAATCTAGATATTGAAAATACTTAAAGGAGATGTCTTACTTTATATTATACTGTCCAGTTTTCAGAGTACATCTATCAGGAAGCTGAGAAAGTTTTTTAGAGAGCATTTTAAAATATTTTCTACATTCCTGCATTCCCGTGCTCTGGTCATAATCAGTAGATGCAGAAAGTGGGAGTCCATCCCTCACACGGACCACAGAGGCAGATAAGATCATAGACATTGCCAACAGAGTTAACAACAACCTGCAACAAAACACAAACCAGGAGGAATCAGAATTAAAGTGAAAGCAGAGATAACAGAGCCAACTGTGATGAATTAAACTTCTCAAGCTGTACAGTGGGTTCAGGCCTCAACTGGGATAGTTATGATTTTCAACTGTAACTCAGACTAGAGTCTTAATTGAACAGTACCTACTAATCTACATGAGCCATAAATCAGTTCTTCAAACCTTACATTAAATCAAAACATTCAGAAGTTTAGCAAGACAAGTATTAAAAGCATTACTTATCTGCTAAGCATCAGTACACAAATTTGTTCTCCTACAAGTGGGCGAACTGCTAGAATTTATACGAAGCCAAAAGCAAACACTTCCTCAGCTCTTAACACTGCTCTGCAGACTCCTACCATATACTACACCTATCACTTCAGACACTACGAAAAAATATTTTTGCCACCCTCAGATGATGCTTCTCAAGTTCCATACAGTCACAAACTGCAAGAGGAAACATATTTCTGGATACAGCTGAAATATGCTTTTGTGTGTGATACTGACATGTTTACAGCACCTTTCAAACTATGACGTTAAGGGTGCTTTACAAGCCTCAGCAGCTGAATGACTGCATTCTCACAAGTCAGAAATCCAAATTTCCCCCAAAAAGACACTACCTCTTCATAAAAGAGAAGAAATAGCTATTTTTACCTGAACTCTCATCTTCTCTATTTCCCACTTCCCAAAGCTTTTATATCCATCAGGAAACGTAATGAATAATCAACAATAGTCAGACTTTTCAAGGTTATGAACGCCTCAGAGAGAGACATATAATAACATAAGCACTAAACATGTGTTGTCACTTTCAGTTTAATAAATTCAGCTTCATCAGCAGTCAAACTTCAACGTCCTTTGAGATACATCACATTAGCTGAATAAATTCCAAATTAATACCCTCAGATTTTACTTGCACAGCACAAGAGACTCTCCCCAAAGCTGTAACAGCAGCAGGATTGTTGACTGCAGTCTGCTGAACACCTTGGGGCTTTTATCAGGTGCCCTTGTTATTTCAGCACTTCACTAGAGAATTCCCTCCTGAACAAAGTGCTTCCATCAGCAGGACACAAAAAAAGAAAACCCCAACTCCGGGACTTCCTCTAGGATCAGCTAGCTGGCATGAAGCATTCAAGAAACAAAACCCACAGTTCTAGAAACTTTTACCTATATCTGAGTTCATGCATGTGTTCCCAGAAGGACAATTCACATGGAATGCACATGGACTAATTTTCTTAACTATGCTGCTAACCATACAACCAAGGAGCTAACCCAAGCAGCTCAAGAGCACAACAAAACTGCAGAGGAGCTTTGAACTGTAAAGGTTCTCTGCCAATAACTATCTCTACCACTCAGAACTCAATCCTGACAGGGACTTTTGGGAGCTGTATCAATACAAACAAAAGAGCAGTGATGCCATAGCAAAGTTTAAATACCACTTCATTAACTTACTTGCACAAAATGTAATTTCATGGATTGGCATTTCCCCTGAAGAAAGAAATAACTTACTTAGCACCTAACATGAAGAAAGGAATGCAGCTCCATGTCCTGTTTCAGGAAAAGGCAGTGAATGGGACTGCACTGCACGAAAAACCCAGAATCCCACAGCCAGCTCGCAGAAGATATTATTCTGTTCACTTTTTAAATTATCTTGATGGTTAAAGTTCATGTTGAGCTATCTGATGAGATAAGAACAAACAAAAAAGTTAATAAATATATTTACTGGGTAACAACACACTTCAGCTCTTTTTTGTGAGGCCCTACATATTGGAAAGGCCTGAACATAGCCAAGGGAGGTTACTCAAAAGATAATTAAAGAAAAAGAAAACTAGGATATTCAAATGTTTCTGTGTTCTTTAAGTGAAGTTCAGAAGTCCCATCACTTGAGGCATTTAAAATGAGAAAGCACGTTATCCATCTGCACAGCACAGGAGTAACTGAGGTTTACACAACCTTTAACTCTGAACCCCATCATTCCCCTCATCCACTACATTTGATTAATCCATCATCTCCTCTGCTCAGAACACTTCAGGAACAAAACACAGCACAACCACAGCTCTATTTCCAAAGCATTAATATTTTACATGTTCAATCTCATCGTACTTGCTTTGCTCCTACAACTGAAAACAAAGAACATAAATACCACTAACAACAGCATGTATGCACAGACAACAGACAAAACAAATGATAAAGACATGTTCAGAGGTATTCTTTCAATTTTTATGTCTAATCTGTATGTAAATAAATATTTGCATAAATCTTGAACACAACTTTCTTTAAGACTCCTGCTTACATTCAGAGAAAAACAGGCTCTAGAACAGAAGATAAGCCTCTACTGAAACCTGCCAATTCTCTTCATATATGACAAAATCACGCAAGGAAGAAATTGTGCTGAGCTGAAGATCCTAACACCAGTTAGGTTTTGTTACCATCATCTTAAAAACCCACCCAGTGAAAATATGAACTTTTTTCTCAGCCTCCTAACAGCAGAATCAGAAAACTATCTAAAAACCAAAGCTAATAAATTACTTTGGCTGGAAGATCATATGTATGTCAAGAAATGTATAATACACGTACTGTAACAGAACATTCAGCCTTACCTGAAAATGTATTATCAAAGAAAGAAAGTTTATTAAATCTATTTTATCCAGCTCTCAAAACTATACAGCTTTACACAAAGAGCTAAGTGGTAAATTTGATATGCACTTACATATTTAGAGACTGAAGAAAGACAAATATGCTTTTAGAGTTACTTCTAAATGTCTTTTTGAAACATCTATTCAAAGCTGCATTAAGTAATTCACCAAATTGTTACAAATTTCATACATTTTCCTCCAAAAATTATGTATCCCTCAACCACCTGAAGATGACAAAAGACTGCACTTTCACTACAAATGGCCTATGAATTTCTTATAGGTGCCAGGAAATGAACAGATTGGGTTCACGGCCTCATTCCATGACAGAACTGTGGAATACCAAATCCAACCAGCAGCTGTTTGGGTCACAGGTATCACAGAGGATCCAAAACTTGTCACCAGCCAGTGGAACCCCTTGTCACAGGCTGCTTAAGAAGCAACTGGAAAAGTTCACAGAAAAACTACCTGGGATACTAAAAGCAAGTCATAACCTTTTGCTCAGAGGGATTCTGACCCCCACACAAACACCAACAGGGAAAGTACCTCACAGAAGCAGCACTCCATGCTTGCACCATTCTTGTTTCCCTTAGCTAGTATTTACTTCTGCCCCATTGTTGTTGATTTTCCTTTTACAGCCCTCCCCACAAATGAGAGGACTCATGGAAAAGAGGAGCATGGAGAAAGCTGGCCACAGACAGGTAAGAGGCAGCAGGGTGGATATTCCTCTGTTACTGCACGTTCCCAAGAGCTGTCCAATTCCTCCTGCACATATCAGTATCCACTGTTTCAGAACTAGCAATCACCACATGTGCCTGGTTTCATTTCCTCCCATGAACAAGAAACCTCAGGTGACAGAAACCAGAGCCTGTTTCACTGTACTTGTTTTTTTTTAAGCCATATTCAATTATCATGTTGTTTATTTCAGTGTTACGATGGTACCTAATCCACAGCATCTACAGAAGTCCTAGAAACACTGAAAACGGAGAGTGGAGCATTCCAGCCTTTTGTAACAAATTCATCATCTAACTTGTGATCTGACAGTTAATTGTTTTAAACATATCTGACATAGTCTTGTAACACTTTTAACAAGTGTTTGAAAGTGACTTGTGACTATGATTTGCTCAGGATGCTTCACTTAAAAAAAACTCTAGCTTTCTCAAAATTCTGACCAGATCGAGTGTAATGGCAAGCTTACCCTCCTGCACCTGATAACCTTCAGCCAATTTAATCACCACATTTCTTGTTGGGATGTCTGCCTCTCATAAAACCTTTCCATAATATATAAAACTGGGAAGGAATGCAAGCTGCACTCCTGTCTGACACAGAATACAGATAAAACTTCTGTGCTTACATAAAACACATACCTAACACTGTTGGACAATTTATTGTCCCCACTTCTGAGGGTTGTGACAGCTGCATTATACAGGAAGGAGCTTAATTTTTTCATACTACATAATACTTCAGAAATTCATATCACAAACTGGAGCACTACAGAAGGACACAACAAACAAAGCTACTTTGACATCATCGGGTATGATAAGACAAGGGAATAATCCTAAATCACCAGCCAATATAATAATTCTTTCCAAAAAGTCAGGGGGAAAGAGATCGCAGAGGCAGAATCAAGATTCGCAGAATCAATGAGGTTGGAAAACACCTGAGATCTTCGAGTCCAACCTGTGACTGGACACCACTACCGGGTGCCACGTCCAGTCTTTCCTTAACAGGTAGCTCCAGGCACAGTGACTCCACCACCTCCCTGGGATCCCAATCCAATATATAATCACCCCTTCGGAAGAAATTCCTCCTAACGTCCAAACAATTCTGACAAGCTAAGGGAACGGAACAAGTTGCACCCCAGAGTTTGGGAGCCAGACCCTTTCGCCTAGCACCTACTTACGTGGCAGCTCGGGCACGGCCCCCAGCGGCCGCAGCAGCCGCGCTGACTCAGCGGTCACCGACTCGGCCGGACCCGCACCGCTCCAGCTCACACAACTTCACAACCCTCCCGCCTGCGGAGCGGCGGAACCCCTGCGCACGGCGGGCTCTGCTACCGAGCGGCGCTTGCCAGGAGCCCCGAGCGGCCCTGGCTGCCTCCCGCACCCCCCGAGACGGCGGCGGCCCCGCGCCGACCGCGGCTGAGGCGCGAACGCAGCCGGCCGGGAGGCTCCGCGGCCGGGCCTGGGGCCGGCAGGGGCGGGCAGGCGGAAGGGGAAGGGAGCGAGGAGAAGCGAGGCGGCGGCGGGGCAGTGCGGGCAGTGCGGGCGGGCGGCGGCTCCGGGCGCGGGTCCCGCCCCGCCCGCGGCCCTCAGGGCGCCGGCCGCGCGCGGGGGGCGCGAGCCGTACCTGGCAGCGGGGCGGCGGCGGCGCGCGGTCCCGCCGGGCATTGTGGGAGCGGACACGGCCGCGTGCGCCGCAGCGCCCCCGCGCGGGGCGGGGCGGGGCCGCCCTGAGGGGACTCCGGGCGCCGCCGCCCTCAGGGGTCGCGGCGGGCCCCGCCGTCAGCCCTGGGCGGCCGCCCTGCCCCGGGCCCCGCTGTCAGCCCTGGGCGGCCGCCCTGCCCCGCTGTACCAAGGGAACGCCGCCCTTGCGTGGCGGGATGCCGCAGCCAGACTCCGGGACTCCCGGGCCCGGATCGCGGCCGCGGGTGTGTCTCACCGCCCGGGCGGCAGCAGCCGAGCACCGCCGGCGCTGTCTCGCACAGCCTCGTCTGAGGCTGAATTTATCATAGAATCACCCAGGTTGGAAAATATCTCCGGGATCATAGGGGCCAACCTATGACTCGACACTATCCTGTCAACCAGAGCAGGGCACCGAGTGCACACCCAGTCTTTATTTAAACACCTCCAAGGATGGTGACTCCACGGCTTCCCTGGGCAGCTCAGTCCAGTGTCAAACCACCCACTGTGAAGAAACGGCTTCCTAATGATCCATCTGAGCCTCCCCTGGTGCACCTTGCGATTCTCCTCCTGTCTGTGCCCGGGGCGAAGAGCCCGACCCCGCCTGTCCCAGGGAGCTGCAGGGAGCGGTACATGAGCCCCGAGCCTCCCCTCCTCCGGGACAGCTCGCTCTGCTGTCAGCACAGCTCAGCTTTGGGAGCTGTGCGCTTTGGGCTCTCCCGTGTAATAACTTCTGACAGCTGCTGCCTGGTGTCCGCCAGGTTTAATGGATCACACAGCCCTTGGCATGTGCCTGGCACTGTGTGGATAACCAGGTATGTTCGGGGTCCTGTGCTGGGGCAGTGAGCGTGGCTGCTGGCACCTGTGTGATAGGGACAGAATAGCCACCAGCAAAAGTGCACTGAGATGAGACCAGATGCTAGGCTAATCTCACTCATTTCCCAAGAAATTAACTGGGCATGTTTCAACAATAAATGACAATACAAAAGTGAAAGTTTGCAAACTCATTAGTAACCCTAGAGTGAGGTTCCTATTTTAAATGTTTTTCTACTGATACAAGGATAATTTTCTCACTGTATCACTCTTTGACTTCACTGTTTTCATACCAAATCACACCATTTTAGTCTGTTGGCTCAAATCTGAAATGAAAGCAGTTTATTTCCTCACTAACGCCTTTTAATTTCTCCTTCCATCTGTTACTACTTCACTTATCCAAGTGCCTGTAGCACAGCAGTATTGGGACAGAGGTAACACACCTCACACTCTGGACTCTCAGGCTCTGCTGAGCCCTACTCAGGAGCAAGGCAATCAGGAAGATGGTGTTGGAGAAAATCAATGGTCTCCAACCTCAACTCTTACTTCTCCAAGCAATTTTATGCAGACACCTATGGCACCCCTGGATATCAGAGGGGCATTGCCTCACTCCATATTCCAGTGATCCAAGTGAGGAAAAACAATCTCTTGGATCTTAGAACAAGGAGTAAATTACTATTGCTGGAGATTAATTGCACCCTTTCAGCCTCCAGGCTTTCTTCTCTGTCTTCAAGCAAAGCTCAGCCAAGCCAAGGGCTCGATCTCCCTGAGTCAAGCAAGACCACAGCAAGGGATACAAGATTAATTGTGGCTCTGGGGCTGAGTAACAGAGGGGGAAACTGGCAAAAAGGGAAAAAGGGAAAAATTGTTTCTAGAGCAGACTCGAGACAAGAAAGTGGTGAAGAGGGGAGTCAGAAGATGGGGCTGGCATGGAGATGTGGGAGGGGAAGGAAGGAGCAGGTGAGCAGAGGGGCAACAGCAGGAGAGTCACCTGCTTGATGAGGTTGTTTTTCTGTGAACTTAAAAGCTCAAGAAAAAGTGATGAGAGTCTTTCCTAAGCATCCTTCTCTCACTGCAAGCTGACTGTTGATGGGAGCTGCCAAGGATGTGCACCATGAACGGGTCTTGCTAAAGCCTCACAAGGGATGGAACATCTGCATGTTTGAATATACAACTTGGCATCGGCAAGTCAGTATCTTGGCCTGTCAGGAAAAACTGTTCCCAGTCAGGCTTTAGTAGAGTGGAGCATGGGAACATCTCAATCCTGACTGACTATGCAGAAGTAAAGCACATGTTCAGAAGATGATACATTAATCTGAATAATTTCCAGAGAGTCCTTATCCTGTATAAACAGAGTGCACAGTATTACAAGCTGCTGCACAGTTTAACAGCTTATGATAGCATCTACTATAATGCAGAGAACTAGTGATTACTTAATTAGAGGCTGTCTAAAGGTTTGTGATAAGTGCATACATGTGCAATTTTAATTTTTCTACTTCTTCTGAACTGTTTATCTTTCAACCCTAAAATTCTCTTAACCTTTTGTAAATGTTTTAAAGAAAAAAGATAAGCATTCTTCATTTACATAAACAGGATTTCAAGTATTGTATACACATCTATTAGTTAAGACTCCTAGGGGAAAAACCGACATTATTCTTTATTTTCAGGTGAACCTGGCCCCAAGAGGTTAAATAAATCACACAAGGTCACTTGAGGGAGGTAGCGGCAGAGTCAGAAATGAGGTTACAACTCCAACCCTCCCAGCTCTCATGGTGAACTTAAATAATATCTGTTATTCAAGAATTTGCATGGCTAACAAGCCAGTTACACTTTAAATTGTGTCTTTTCCTTGTCCCATTGACTCCCCTAAGACACGGAAGCAGTAAAACATTGTCAGAGGGGGCAGCGTGCAGTGAATGCATTAGTGAAAGCTGCAGCCAGAGATAAAACATTCCTAAGAAGTAAATCCAGTCAGTGCAAAGGGAAGCCATAGTGGAGGAATGAGGTGTTTCAGAATGAGGAGGAGAGATGAGGAGACAAGAGAGGTGTGGATGGTGTCAGAGGTTGAAGGGAGAGCGGGATGGGAAGGATGGGTGACAAAGGAGTGCCCATGGTGCCAGCCCCCTCAGAAATGCCAATGAGGGGCCTCTACATGAGCAAAACAGAGAAGCCATTACTTGCCAAGTGTGTCATCAGCCAGCTGAAAGCAAAGCCTAGCAGCAAATGCTTGGAGATGAGTTAGGACAGGATTTACCTCACAGATGTTCAGTGATCTGGAAATTGCCCTCTGTGAAGAAGCTCTGTGTTGCTATTTCTCCTCAGTCATTGCAGGGAACAGACATGTCCAGCTGCATTTATGCACCTTGGCTTTGGATGACTTAAGGTAGGGAAGACAAACCTTTAGGCTCTGTCCACTGGATTTAAACATGACTTTAAAATCAGGTTTCCCCAAGGAAAAACACCAGCCTGAGGAGCTGGCAGTAGTTGTGTTCATCAGTGCTGGAGTCACAGGAGCAACAATAAAGGTTCTGAAAGGAAAATTCATACTCAGGGTTTTTTGCAAAAGAAAACACTTTTCTGTTTACTACACGTTTCTCATTATATTGCTCCTTTCTCTGTACCATTTTTTTTCCCTTATATCTTCCTTAAAGTTTGGTGCTTGAAGCTGGAGGTATTATTCAAGCTGAGGCTTTAACCAGACTAACAACCATTAATATGCTTCCTGTTTCTTGGATAGTAATGTCAATTCCCAGGAAAAAACAGGTATGTTGAATTGGTGTATTCAGGTGGAGTGCAGCCCAGCTGCATCACGAGGCCTTTGCACTCCGAATCAGGCTGCTGAAATCATGGCACTAGCTAAAAGCCCATGACTTTCTAACAATTTTGCACTCTAAAAAACTGCATTTGATTTTAGAGGTTTTAGAGAAACCTGTGTCCATAATCGCAAGAGCAAGGATTATGCTCACTGCAATGAACTGTTCTTGCTAACACAGCAGCAGCAGAACTATGAGCAAGGTCATAAAAATCATCAGCAGATTATGCAGTTTATTTCCTCACTTCTCTTTTTAAAAACCTCCTCTGCTGATTCAGTCTTAAGGTCCTGTGCTGGGCCCAAAAGTTTCTTTCCTGGAGCACTAGTATTTAATTCTCAAGGGCTTTGCAAGACTGAAGCAACCTCGTAATGTCACAGAAAGTCTCTCACTGGCAATAAATGCAGCTGTTAGAACAAAATACAGCATTGTCCCAATGGCTCTTGTTGCAGCAGGGCCCAGTATGATCTCCTGCATAAAGAACAACCTATTTCTGAAAAGTAATCTTCACACTGCATCTCAATTAGTTTGAAAAGCAATGTGTTGTTAATGTATTTTTATTTGCAGGGCCATAAGCGTTATGGGTTTATGGAAATAACACGAGTGAGCTTTTCTGATGATCATGTCCCAAGCCATTCCAACAGTGATGGGCTCTCTTCGGGGCTTCCTGCTTACTTTTTTCCCTTTCTGGTAGAAGCAGCTGATCTGAAAAGCCACATGAATATACTCCTAGTACACATAATCCCTTTAGTTCCCTGCATGACTGTAATTGAACGCATTGGCAGACTTTGTTTGTATTCAAATATTTTCATAGAAGGGAAAGTCATTCCAAGCTGATCACTTCATGAGGCCAAAAATTTCATTAGGAGCCATTTGAACAATTACAGTAAATAAAAAAAATCATTATTTGTCAGTACAGTTTTGCCACAAACACTATGATTTATATTAAAATAATTCTTACTCCCTAATGAAATTTGTCTTTGTTTATGATAATCACCACAACAAATTTATTGAGTAAGAAAGAAAACACATATGGCACTGTAATCCACAGTTAGGTTATTCTATTTGA